GTAAACCGCTTAGAGAGGGCTGAAAGCCCTATGAAGCGGTATATAAGTCTAACTGCTATTGCTATTGCTAAGCTCTCTGGGCCAGTCCTACTTTTTTTTATCACTCAGCCTAACTCCATACAGTTGCTGTTGTAGGCATAAAATTAGGGGAATCCCCCTCCCCAGCTCTCAAGAGAAAATACTGCATTTATGCTGACTATCTCCTGTGACCTGAACTTGAATGCTGGTGAACATGTCCACATACTTTCTAAGTACTAACCAGAAGATCTTTGCTTAGCTACTGAGCTTAGATATGGTTGGTCAGATGCTGCCACCTGCTGAAACTATACACAGGAGTCTCTTCTCATTTTGCCTCCAGAACATCCAACAGAGAGAGGCCGAAGTCATTGGTGAGCCCCATGTTTGAAAAGGACCTTTTACTTGGCTCTCCTCAGTCCATTAAAGGAACCTACCTCTCCCCAACCACAGTCCATCCCTTGGAGCACTGTACTCTGCTGATTTTTGGGGATCCTCACAACAGTTCTATTAACCTGGATATGTATTACTTTGATATATTTTGTGTGTAGAAGCAGGATTGCGGGTCAACACAGTTAAAGCAGAGAATTTCCTTAGCTCTTCTAAAGAGCACCTGGCAGAGGCATCCTCCATCTCCATGCTCCAGTCCGCATAAGAACCCCCCCCCCCCCCCACAGAGCTACTACTCTGGAAAGCAGAATCGTTCTGGAAGGCTAGTTTTGCAAAACAGAATTCTAGTTCATCTTCCTTTAGCATAGTTGGAAGTTATTTTAATTATAATGTGAATCAGGTAAATCTGTGCCTAAGAAGCAAGCTTTCTAAAATTATTATCTAAGAAAACTTTTCCTGTCCTGCACTAATTCTGTATATCTCTTTTCCCTGACCTTCCCAATATTGCTTGCAAAAGAAATCCCTAAGGCCATTTCTGATATATCAACTTGGAGTTGCTTTTTATGCTGCCCCAAAAGACATTTCTTGACTATGAAGAAGATTCATATCATTTAAATGGTTCTCTGCAAAGGGAGGAAAAGCACACGGGGATCCGAGAGCCGAGGTGGCGCAGTGGTTAGGGTGCAGTACTGCAGGCCACTTCAGCTGACTCTTATCTGCAGTTCGGCGGTTCTAATCTCACCGGCTCAAGGTTGACTCAGCCTTCCATCCT